TTTTTAAAATTTCATAACTAAATACGTTCAAAATATGATAAACTAGGTTAATTTTTTTTTATTTGCACTGCAAACTTCTGATATTAAGACCGCCTTGAATTGAAACTTGTTTCATATAACATCTTTCATCACATTGTCTTGTTATAATTTTTTTGTTTTTTTACAAAACTATTTCTATATATAATACAATAATATGTTTTTTTAACATCGTCCAGGACGGCCTTAATGTGAAAAATACAATTTAACAAGAATGCTATATATAAAATTCACATAAAAACTACAACATCGGAATAAAAAAAAACTGGGTATTAATGCAAGTTGAACTCGGAGTTAAAAAATCTATATCCGGCACAATTATAGAAATTTCATAAATCAAAGCAACATGCCTAATACCTAAAAATCTTGAACCATAACCTATGAAATCATTTCCCGAATCATGATCTTCAAATCCAAGTCTTGAATTATAAACATTTTGTTCAGACAATAAGTTACTTTTTTTCTAACTTACAATTATTTCCTGGATTACAATTTTCAGGTCCATTTTCTGAATCACAATCTCTAACATAATATCTAAATTATGACTGTCTGATCGATTTCCTGAGTCATAATAGTCGGATCCATCCCTCAAATTGCAACGGTTAAATTCATTATAGTTTACGAGTTCATCTCCTAAATTACCAATATAAGGTTCATTTTCTGAAATACAACTATTGGGTCCATTTCTTGAATCACAATTGTCTGATCCATTTACTGAATTACCAATGTCAGATCCATTCCCTGAATTACCAATGTCAGACCTATTTCCTGAATGACAAATACTGGATCCATTTTTTGAATTATAATCGGATCCGCTTCCTGAATTACAACCTTCGGATTTAATTCTGGAAGTATCCTGTGCATAATTTGGCGTACTATTATCCTGTGGATGCGGAAGTACAAACGGTTGATACTCGGATGAAGGACAAACTTCAAGTCTAACACTTGGTTTGTTGTTAGCAATCGAAGGATGCGTTTTTGGACGAGAAATATGTGGCCTAGTATCTGAAGTGTTATTATGGAACAAAGTAAGCGACCCTGAAGGATAATTATTATGATAATTATTTAACGTAGATAAGAAAAATTCTTCTTTAGGATCTAAGTAGATATCACCACCCATAATACTTTGCAGGTTATTAGTCAAAAACTTTTGTTTAATTTTTGTTGTTTCGTTCATATGACGAGTGAATTGGGACTCCTTCGGCATATTTTTTTGTCGCTGTATTTCTGATTTATTTGATTGATATTTTGATTTGTATCGATTTTTTTCACTCTGAGCAAAAGATCAATTTATAAATTATGCTCATTAATGTTGTTATGCATGTTTTCCTTAAGCAGCAGTTTACATGTTTAAAATTTTCTTTCCCAAAACGAATATATTTTTTTTACTAAACTTTAAAAAATATGAACTATTTACACTTGTTAGAACATATTTGGTAATGCCTATTTTCGTTAATTAGCAATTTACAATTGTAATTTTTTTATATGTTCATTTTTATTCATAATTATTCATAATCTTATGATAATCTCAAATAATAGTACACAAATCGCCATATTCCTGTATTTGTAATTACCATAATAAGGGGGAACGTTAAAGCCAGGTGCGTTAGAATTACTTTTTTGATGCAGTTAGGGTTACGTTTTTGATGCAGTAATGGTTAGTGGTTTATGTAAATATCAAGAAGATAATTTATGCAACATGTAGATCATTTCCAAGTTTATACCAAACGCACCTGGCTTTAACGGACCCCCATATAAGTGCATTTCCTATAATATTCAATGATAACGATAATGCATGTATGCAAATCGCTATTATTACGAGTAATGTGCTGCATATATGGGTGAAACCTACAAACCAAAAAAGGAAAATAAAATAGAGCTTTTATTTTATTTTCTGATTTTGAAATTTAGAAGCACAAGATTTTTAAACTCTCATTTATTTCAAAAATAAGTTAATTCTGAAGCCCCTATTGTTTGAATGTAAAAGGCGCTACACTCGACTCTATGATCTATGTTAGAAATTACCTCTTTTGGCAGAAATAAGCATACACGGTGCGACACAACGACAAGAATGAATTTCCAAAATAGGGATTTGCTCATTTCAGCAAGTGTTACGAAAACTAATACGTAACCATTGATTTTATTTATTTGTATCTGACAACAATAATAATTTGTACCGATAATGCATACGTACGTACGTAGAATTTTTTCATAAAAAAACCAAATCAAGTCACATCTGACTTGTAACCTAACGCTAACCTCAAAAATTTCCTTTCGGGATTAAGTTAAGCCAACGTAGGTTGACCAATCAGAATCGAAATTTTGGTCAGCCAAAACTTATTTTAAGCATTAGAAATAATAACCCCATGATTTTGATAGTGATCTGTGGATTAATCAAAATACGATTAAGCGCTAATTTTAATTATTGAGGTACTGGTCAGATTAGTATATGACTTTAACGCCCTTTTTTATCATTTGCCCAAAATAATTTTATCTGCTTGAATTTTTCGCATTTTCCACTTTCCTGCTTCGTTAAATTGATCTAATTGGCTATTGATTGGCCAGTATGTATGAAATTGCTCCATAAAATAATAAAACTGATTATTCCATTTCTAGGGGTAACTATTATGATAAAATTGATGGTCCCGGGATTAAACCTAGATGCCGCACAAAAAATGAGCGGAAAATTCACGATTATGAGATTGGCCAACGGCGATAATCAAAATTTTATGCCAAAATTACTCAAATTTTTACTAATGAAATCGCGGCCGCCCATTAAGTAAAAAATGTTCCTGAGCTAATTTACCATCGGAGAGGCCCAAACCTTAAAAATTTTCATTTTTGGAATTATTACCAGGGGTTGTGCAGATCAACTGACAATAAACCAATTAAAATTGTAATTTTTTAAAAGCTTTGAACGAAGATATCTCAACAACCATCTGACCAAATTCGATGAATTTTTTTTTATTTGAATTCTAACGATTCAAAAAATTTAAATAAAAATATTTCATCGAATCTAATCAGGTGGTTATCGAGACATCTTCGCTTAAAGTTTTAAAAAAATTAAAAAAATTACAATTTTAATTGGTTGATTATCTTGTCATGTGGGTTAACAAATGGGTTGTTCCACTTAAAATCTAGCTCAATAGCAACACTACAACTACAATATGTTGGTGATACACTCATAAGGAACCACGAGACAAGCGACAAGTGCTTTATTGTTAGATTTGTATGTACTATATTGCAAGAGAGAGAACTGTCATTTTGGCGTATTAAGAGCATATAAGAAACTCGTATCCGATAGATTTCAAAATTATGGTTACACAAACTATTTATATGGGCAATTGAAAATTTGATATACTACAGTCGGG